CCCCTGCAGGTTCCCGAGCGATGGGTTCCTGCTCCTGGCCTTGCTGCTTTACGCCCCCGTGGGGCTCTGCCTGCTCGTCTTGCGCGTCTTCATCGGCGTCCACGTGTTCCTGGTCAGCTGCGCCCTGCCCGACAGCGTGGTGCGCCGGTGCGTGACCTCGGGGGGCTCCGGCTGCTGCCCGGGCTCGGTGTGGGGTGGCAGGGCCGCCCCGGCCCTTGGGTGTCCCCAGCCGTGGGGGCTCGGCTCAGGGTAGGATCTGTGGGGAGCTGTGTCTTCAGGACTCCTTGTCTTCAGGGGCCTTGGAGGTGATTCTGCCAAGCCCGGAGCTGGCGGCTACCTCTGGAGTGCTCAGGGATTGGTCTGGAGCACGTGGATCAGCCTGGTGTGCTGCTCAGGAGTTCTGTGGGCACTTGCTGTCCTCATCCCAGCCCCACAGCAATTCCTGCTCCAGATGTATCATTTCCATTTGATCCCAGAGTCATTTGTCCAGCTGCCAGAATTCCTGGGCCCTTGTCTGTTGGACATGTCACCTAGCAGTGGTTCAGAGGGCAGGAGCTGAGGAAGATCCTTGTTCCCCTGGCAGGTTCATTGTCCGTGTGATGTGCTCCGTGCTGGGGTTGCTGGTGCGTCAGAGCGACCCTCGGCTGCGTGGGGCTGGCACCAGGGTCTTCATTGCCAACCACGTCACCCCCTTCGACCACAACGTTGTCAGCCTGCTCACCTCCTGCAACACGGTGAGGGCACGGCCGGGGCTCCTCCCCTCGGGCGGGGCACGGGCGGCTCTGCCCGCTTTGGTGCTGCAGTGGTCACGGTGGAAGGCAGCTTGAAGCCCACTCAGTGCCACATCCTGCCATGGGCAGGGACACCTTCCACCAGCCCAAGTGACTCCGAGCCCCGTTCAGCCTGGCCTTGGACACTTCCAGGGATCCAGGGGCAGCCACAGCTTCTCTGAGTAACCTTGCCACTCTCACAGTCAAAAATTTTTTCCTAATATGCAGCCTAAATTTCTCCTCTTTTGGTTCTTCCCACTAATCCTTATCCCATCACTCCAGTTTCTGGTGCAGATTCTCTCTCCAGCTTTCCTCTAGGCTCTGTCAGATCCTGGAAGGTTTCATTTCCAAATCTGATTTATTAACTCAGGGTGTTAACCTTGAGGTGTTTTCTGTGGCAAAGTGTCACTTGTGGGCTCTGCATGAAGAAGTGGAACAGGATGAGGAGCAGCAAGATTTGTTACGGTGGGAGTTGGATTTTGGTGGAAGAGTGCTTCCTTCTCTTCCTTCCAGCGGCTGCTTCCTTCTCTGGCCTTTTGGATAAGAGGGCAGGGCTGGTTGTGGGGTTTCCCCCAGCACTGGGTGGGAAGTTTTGGGTGGGGCATGGAGGGTGCTGAGAGAGCTGCATGTCAGTGGTCCTTGGGTAGTTCTGGGCTGTCCATGCTCTCCTGTAAAATTCTTGGTGTGTGGAGTTCCTGAGTCAGCAGGCTCCGTGTGGCTCCTGTGTCCTGCAGAGCCATTGATTTACCCCTGGCCTGGAGAGGGGGGACTCCTGGAAGTGGTGTGTGTCCTGCCAAGTGTGCCAGGGACTGCTGGAGAGAACACTGGGGACAGCTGGGAGTGCATGTGCCTGGCAGGCAGGGCACGGTCTGAATGGATGATTTGGAATCCATTTCCTGTGGAATTGAGGCTGGAGCAGGGACTGAGGCCTGGCAGTAATGTGTTCTCAGCCACCAGTGCTGTCAGTGCAGATCACTCTCAGTCCCAGAGGGGTTTTTACCAATGAACAGGAACTTTGTCACCTCTGTCACCTGGGAAGGTGGGGCAGGAGGGCCTGGAAGGGTGGGCAGGGCAGTGTATCCTCCTCACTTCTGTTCTTGCAGCCTGCCCTGAGCGGTGCCTCAGGGTTCATCTGCTGGTCCCGGGGATTCATGGAGCTGGGAGTGACAGGCAGCCGTGCAGAGCTGGTGGATTCCCTGAAGGAATACTCAGCCCACCAAGGGAACCCACCACTGCTGCTGTTCCCAGAGGAGGCGGCCACCAACGGCAGGGCCGGGCTGCTCCGCTTCAGGTGAGGGAGTGGGAATTCCCACAGCAGGGGAGTGGGAATTCCTGCAGCAGGGCAGCTGGGAATGGCAGCTCTGGTTCTGGGATCATTCACTGCAGAATTCCTCCCTTCCAGCTCCTGGCCCTTCTCCATCCTGGATGAGGTCCAGCCCGTTGCCCTGCAGGTCCGGAGGCCGTTGGTGGCTGTGGTGAGTGGTGGGCACAGGGACAGGGGTGGGCTGGGTACAGCTTTTCTTTCTGCTCCTGCTTTGGAGGTGTGGCCTGGCCTCATGTGCTGGCACCCTGGAACCAGCTGCTCAGGGCTAACACTGTTCCCACTGCCTTTCCTGGGAACTTGGCCAGTCAGGACTCCCCTGGTTACACTGGCCAGCCTGACAGATGTTTGGTGGCCCAGCTGGCTGTCACTGTGCCTCTGGCTTCCATGGCCAGTGCAGTCTGCTTTCCTCCTGGTGAGCTTCCTGCTGTGAAAGACCAGCTGCAGTCAGTCCTCGTGCCAAAGGTCACGCAGGGCTCTGGAGGCTCCTGAGCTGGTGTCCCAGGCACAGACACAGGACATGGTGCAAGAGCAGCCCCACACAAGGGATAAAGTTCACGAGGGCAATGGCAGCACTGCCAAAGGCATTGCAGGGAAACTGCTCTCAGCGAGGCTTTGTTGAATTTCGTATTTTTGATATTTATTATTTATGATCTGGTGACCACAGAGAGCTGCCAGTCATGGCTGTCACTCATGGGTCTGGTGTTTCTGGGGACACAGCAAATGAACCCCTGGCAGGGTGAGGAGTCACCTGGATGGGTGCAGGGATGAGAACTGCAGGAATTTTTGTTAACTCTTGCTAGGCCAGGGGTGCTGAGACAGAGTTCAGGCAAGCCACAAGTGTGGGTGAAGTTGCAGATTTCTGGCAATGAGGATAAGCTACATTTTGAATGACGCCTCCAGAGAAGTGTGAGAGTTTTTCTGTTCTAGACAGTTTATAAGGAATATCTGATGTTTTAATGGGTTTGGTTGCATTGAGAAATTCTGAGCTGTGACAAGTTGTGTGTGTGTCTGTGCATCCCTTCCCTCATGCATGTAAGGGAGAAGAGCAGGTCTGTGTGGAGGTGCTGGTTTCAGTCACTTCTTGCCTCAACTTTTATTTCCAGAGTCTGAGCAGGACTTTGTGCTTCCTGCACATTGGCTGGTAAATCCTAGTGCATTTCTGGGGTGATCTTAAACCATCAGATACTGGAAAGATTAGAGATGTGATATTTTGAATGATTCAATTGGTGTTTTATAGAAAGTTTTCTTACATCATTGTGTAATGTATATTAGGCACTGGGTTGGGCCAAACACCAAATTTGGGGATAAGAAAGAATTTTCTCCAGCTCCAGTTGCATGGAATATTGCAGGAGGGTGTTGTTCTGTGGCACAGGCAGTGAAACTGAAATCTGGCTGTGGGCATCACTCCAGGCATTTGGGTTTAGGGTTGTGAAGTTGTGTTTGTCCAGGAAACGAGGTTTCTCTGTTCCCCTTGTGGGTGGCCTTTTGGGGTTTATCTCATGTACAGCTCCTCTTCCCAAGCTGTGGGATAAACCAGGCACAGTCCTATCTGAGAATCACTGAATTGTTTGGAAAATCCCTTTGTTTGGATCCCCTCTGTGGGGTCCAACCATTCCCCAAGCACTGCCAAGGCTACCACTGACCCTGTCCCCAAGTGCCACATCCGCAGTGCTGTTAAATCCCTCCAGCGATGGGGACTTCTCCCTGCCCTGGGGAGCTGTGCCAGGGCTGGACACCACTTCCCAGGAGGAATTTTCCCAATATCCAACCTGGGCCTCCCCTGACACAACCTGAGGCTGTTCCCTGGGAGACCTTACAGGAGTTGGGACATCACAGAGAGGCTGTTGCCACCAGAATGAGGAAGGATTGTTCACGGTTCTGAGGAAACATTAGTAGGTTTTTGTTGTAATCCTCTACAACAGGTTTTCAGGAATTTTTTGTGCTTTCTGAAGGCACAGACTGGTAGGGAATTGGGGGAATACTGAGGGAGGTCTTAGTGGGAGGAAAGTTTTCATTGGGAGCAGTGAAAACTGGTGATGATCAGTGAGGGTGAAGCTGCCCTGGGGCTTGCCCTGCTTGCACTGGCTTTGCCATTCCCACTTTCCCAATCCTCCAGCCACAGCTCAGGTGTGCTCTGCCCAGTGGAACCTGAACCAGCTCCTTTTCCATGGGTGGGATCTCACTGTGCTCTCCTCCCCAGAGTGTGGCTGACTCCTCCTGGATCTCAGAGCTGCTCTGGACCTTCTTCGTTCCCTTCACAGTTTATCAAGTAAGGTACTACGTCTCTCTCTTCCGTTTGGGGCAGGGTTGAGGGTGGGCCGGGCTGTGGTGTCACCGTGGCAGTGAGAGAGAGCTCCCTCCCTGGGTGCCTCAGCAGGGCTGGGCTCAGCACCAATCTGGGTCTGGCCATGTCTGACCTGGAGGGGGCTCCTGGTTCCTGTTGGGGAAGGAGAGGAGTCTCAGTGTCTCCAGGTGTTTAGTTCAGGTTGCCAGGTGTATTTTTGAAGCTGGGCTGCTCAGTCCAGCAGTGCTGGCCCCCAGGGTCTCTGTCTGTCCCTATGATCCCTTGGGAGTGGGGTGATGATCCAGGGGGATGGTGCAGGGGTGGTCCAGACTCCTTCCCAGGGCCTGGGTGTGAGCCTAGGCTGGCTGAATAGCTTTGCTGCAATGAGGGCAGTGGAAAGGACTGGGAATCAAATGTAGGGCTTGATGTATTTCAGCAAAGGAAAGCCTTTCCCTGGTTCTATCTGCCTGAATTCTGGGTGACCTGTTTTCTACTTCCATGTTAATGGCCACAGATCCTCATTAAAGCCTTTCTGGGAGCTGCAGATCCCTCGTGTTACACTGGAGGGCTAAGGGAGCTCCAGTGAGCCAGTTCTGTCTTCTGCCATGTCCTGGATTTGGGTGTTGGGGTTTGGTGCTCCTGTGGGGAAAGGTGTGGGGGTGAGCAGGGAGCATGGAGGTGGGGATGGCATGGCTGCCCCTGGCAGGGTGTCCCCAGGGGCTGCTCCCAGCAGGGCTGGCTCCATGTGCTGTTGTCCCCACTCAGGTGGATGCCGTCTGTCCCCAGACAAGCAGATGAGCGGAGTGAGGACTTTGCGCTCCGAGTTCAGGAGGTAGGAAAGTGGTGTGGGAGAGGGATGTGTAGGACTGCTGCACTTTGGGATGGGCACGGAGGAGAGCGGGGTGCAGGGAGAGTTGCAGAGGGCATTTTGAGGTGTGTTTGTGTGATGGAAGCTCTGGTATATATTTATTGCCCCTTGGAAGAACTCAGTTATTTCATGGCTTATTTGCCACCTCACATTGAGGCTTTCTGCAGTTGTCAGGGCTCTTCCCATTGAGTTCAAACCTTTCACCCCCTTTTCATAATGCCACAAATCAAACAAAGCAGTTGTTTTTCCACCTTGCCCATGTATGCTGGGTACTTCACAGCTCCAGACATCTCATACCTCCTTGTCAGCCTGTTTTGGCAGGATGATATTGCTATTCCTGGTCCTTCTCATGAAATGAAACACTGAAATGCATCCCAGAGGCCCCGGAGAAATCAGTTCCCAGCCCTCTTGCCCTCACAGTGGCTCCACATACCCCAGACATGCTCCCCAGCGTGGAGGGGCTGCCTGGGCTGTGTGTGTTGTGTTTTTTGTGTGACTCCTCTGCGTTCCACAGCTCTTGGCCATGGAGCTGGGTGTGGTATCCACACGGATCACCGCTGCTGACAGGACCGAGCACATGAAGAGGCTGAGACACACATCACGGCTGCCCTTTGCCCCAGGTGGGGGTCCTGAAGGGGTCCTGGCTACGGAACCTCAGCCTGGGCTCTGCTTTTGGGGGAGCCTCTGTCTACTCTCAGCGACAGACTGCCCACTTTTAGTCCCTCACCCTGTGCCCACTGTCCTTTCTCCTGCAGCCTCGAGCCAGCGCCCGGCAGCCCGGCCCAGGGTGCCCCCCAGCCTGCCTGGGGGTGCTCCCGAGGACGTGAGGGTCGTGGCCATGGCACAGCAGGTCAAGGAGGTGCTGCCTCACGTGCCCTTGGAGGTCATCAGGACTGACCTGGGTGAGCAGGGACTGGGGTGGCAGCAGGGATGTAGAGGCACCTCCTGTGGTCTGAAGGAAGAAACCTTTTCCCCACTGCACTGGTACACATTAGCAGCCAGGATGGAGTGTCCTGATCTCTAATGGGTCTTTTTGGTTCCTGCAGTCCAAACCAATTGTGTGGACACCACCATTGCCAACTTGCTGGAGGGGAGAGTTTCTTTCTTCCCTGAGAGTAAAGAGACTGAAGACCTGCCTGCCCCGTCTACCTCCCAGGCTGCAGCTGCTTCTGGCATCCAGGGCTCTGTGGCTGCGCCTTCTTCCAAGGTACTTTGGGGTTGTGTCTCCTTGCTCTGGTGGCTCGTGTTCAGGACTAGCCAGGGGTATGGATCACCAGCCTGGCATGCCAGGTCCTTCCAGAGCTACCAAGCAGACCCCTGCTTTCATCTGTCTCCTGATGGCTCCTGTGCTTTCTCTTCCAGCCGGCTACAAAGCAGTTTGCAAAGTCCCCCGTGGAGCGTCACCTGTCCTTGCAGGAGAGAAAACGAGCCTTGTATGACTATGCCAGGAGGTGAGAGCCCCCCACACCACCCTGTGCCAGGGCCACACAAAATCTCCCCCCACCCAAGCCCCAGCAGCACCCGAGGTGCCCCAGGCACTGGGCTCTCCAGTGGAATGGAGCCCCTGTGGGACTGGGTTTCTCTGGGGTCCCCCTGACACCCTCGGTGTGGGCAGGACGTTCCTGTTTGGCACCAGGGACAGCGCCGTTAATCCTCCTTGGTGTGAGGGCACAGGGAGTGAGCTTGGTCTCTGTGCAGGGTTTTCATGAGGCAAATCCTGGGACAAGAGGCCAGTTCTGGTCTTGGTTTAGGAAGACGGAGAAAATTGAGGATGTGTTTGAGGGGAAGTTGAGTGTGCCTGGGCTTGCTGGGCACTGATCAGCTGGGGTGGTGCCGAGGGAACCATCCTGTTGGGAAACCTGGCTGGGATCTGCTGGGACACGGGGACTCCTGTGGGTGTGGTGCTGGGAGATCGTGAGCCCTGGCTTGGTCCGTGCTCCATTGTTTTTGTTCCCAGCTGGGACTTTACCTCCCCCATGGCCCTTCCAGAGCAGCTCCTGCTGCCTTCACCCATTTCCCTGGGCTCCAGGCCAGTTTGGAATGAAACAGGACCAACCAGAGCCAGCGTGCAGCCAGGGAGAGCCCGGCCCCGGGGTGCTGCAGTGTCCCCGGGTCCCGGTACCTCGGGGCTGCTTCCTGGCCAGACGGGCGATCCCCGGGTGGGTTTGTGGGATGCCCCTCAGGTGGTGCCAGCGGTGTCTGAGGGCGCTCTCTCCCGCAGGCGGTTCGCTGAGAAGCACGGCGTGGCAAGGGCC